CACACACACACACACACACATACGCTTGTGCGCGCGCGTCGACACAAACTCACCACATTCTCGCCCGGACTAGGGTGAGAAATCAAGCGGCTGCGATAGTAAAACAAAGCAAAAACGTTGAGTACGACAACAAATCATGGACAGAAGTTATCTGAGCTCGAGACACAGCTGCCCCGCAACTGTTTTCGTTTTTGTTTTCGTTTTTCTTTGTTTTATTTTTGTTTTGTTTTGTTTTGTTTTGGTTGATTGGGTTTTTTGTGTTTGTTTTTGTTTTGTTTTATTTGGTTTTGGGGTTTTTTGGTACGTTGTAGGTTGGTTTTTTTCAAAGGATGAGGGAAGGGGTGTTTGTTGTGTTGGTTTTATGATGGGGATACGTTTGGTTTTGGGGAGCACGTTACGGAACACAGTAACTTTTGGAGAAATATCAGTTAATAATAATGCTTTGCCAGTTTGCTTGAAATCATGCGGAGGACCACTTTCAGAATGGATGTTTGTTTGCTGGCGCAAGCACGATTGTGATTGATTTCGTCAGATTGAATTTGAACTGTTCTGTGCGCAAGTTTTCACAATCAACACTGAGATTTGGTAAACGTTCATTCAAATTCCAAAAGAAAATGTCCAACCTCTTCCATCATATTCATACTATTCTAAAGAGGCCCTTAGTTGTGGGAATCTGGGGCAAAGGATGCACTTGCAACCCAGAAGGGGTTTCTTACGGTTGGTTCAGTAAAGTAAAAGTGTGCATTGCGGTCAAAGATGTAAAAACAAAAACAAAACAAAAACAAGAAAAAACAAAGAAAGAAATATGTTACGTTAAAAATCATTGGTTGCTTGTAACCTGAAATTGATGAAAATCAAGCAACACAACCCCAGCAGAACAAAACAGGACCTCGAAAAGCTCTCTTGGTGGGAGCTTCATGCATTGGCCCTATCGTGTGAATCAGCACAGCTGTACATGTACTCCGCCCCTGTGGAGCAGGGGGTTACACCCGACCAATCATCTTTACTTTACATTTGTTCTTAACTTACAGGGCGCGGACGGCTCAGTTTGTACCATACTAGAGAGTGATTCCGATGACCCTGATACGAATCCTCAGCTGTACGTGCTTGGTGAACTCAAAGTTGTCAGAAAGTTTTCAAGGCCATTAATTAACATCTTTCCTCCATATAGGATGTATAGAGGGAAAATCGTTTCCTCCTCGCACCACTGGGCAGTAATTTAAAGAAAATGGGGGTAGCTCAGTAAAATGTAGTTTTTTCAGTAACATATGAGCGGATCACTTTCAAATTTTCACTTGATCTGAGATAATAATAGCGTCCACTCTTGTACAGTACGCTCAAGGCGCTTTTCAGTTCCTTCCTCTCAACACAAAACACAAGTAGGCCTAATGAACATGCATATTATATACGCTCTTTAGATTGTAACATATAAGCTGACATTCACACTATACATGTATCAGCTCAGTCGATGACGATCCACACATCATTCTCAAATAGGCTTACACATAGTATGTACCATAACTTTACCTCGTGGAAATCCGCTTTAAACTGCAGGCATGACTACAGTTTCTCAATATAGAAGGTATTTTCAATAGGACGTGACCTCTGATTTGAAGTCTTTTTTTTAGAATAGAAGTAGAATAACCATCAATTAATAAAGTACAATGGTACCTAACTAAGTCTAGTCGGGTCTCTTCGTTTTTTGTACACTCCAGAAACAAAAATGTACAAAGACAATAGTGAAAAAAATTATCATTTACTGCCGATAGATACTTCGCCAAAACGTCCAATTACAGATAGGCCTATTACTTCTTTACACGTTCAGACAATCTCTCCCGTGCATACTACATAGGGAATGCAAGAACACACACACACACACACACACACACACACACACACACACACACACACACACACACACACACACACATATATGCATGCATGCATGCATGTATACAGAGAGAGAGAGAGAGAGAGAGACAGACAGACAGACAGACAGACAGACAGACATACATACATACATACATACATACATACA